AAGGTGAAGTTGCGAATATAGGTTTTCTTTTATGATTAGATTTTGTCTTATTTACTTATTTTGCCTTTTTTTTCTACCCAAGCATAATGTACCTACAGTGTTGAACATATTCATCTATAGACATATCGCATTTTAGTCTGCGCAATCTTATGATATAATTTACTGGGCATCAACTTTACCCTCCTTATGCACCGGCGCGTCCCAAAACAAACCAAAAACATGTCACAAAAATCATCACTCGAAAACACCTTCCTCCTCCTTCATCGAGCTTCAAGAACCTCTTAATCAAACGCCCTCACCAACATCCTCCCCGAACTTCCCAAAGGCGGCGTAAGAGTGGTGATCATCGGCTCCCTGACGCTGCAGTACCACCCCGGCTTCCGGCTGTACCTCGCCAGTCGCCACGCCCGTCCCAGCCTGTCCCTCGAGACGGCTGCGTCCCTCACCGTCGTCAATTTCACCGTCACCGTCCAAGGCCTGCACGACAACCTGCGGCAGATCCTCGTCAGGAAGGAGAGGTGGGTTGAGGGCTGGCGTGTGGTGCGGTCAAGTGGTGGTCAGTCTGATGGTTCGAAAAGATGGTGCAGTGTGGGGGGGGAGGGGGTGACCTACCACTTGTTTGGTGAATCACGGCCGAGTCCTTAATACTGAATGGCACTCAGTTTATATTAATAATCAAGATACCAAAGCTGTTTAACAACAACAACAACAACAAAAACACTTAAGATCACAAGCTATGGCGTGGTGTTTCAAGTTCGTAATAAAGTTGATGAGACACATTTTTGACTATACGAAGAGTATAATAAAATCTGGTTTTATGAAATCAGTCCTGTACAGTACTTTCATAAGTTAAGTATTATTATATTTTAACTGTTTGTTAAGGGGGCTCATATTAATACAGAACAAAGGGGAATATGTGGTTTGGTAGATCGTAAAGGCTATCCTGAGCCCAAAAGTCGAATAGGAAATAAGGAATGAATAAAAGGGGTTGATGGAGAGAGAGAGAGAGAGAAAGAGAGAGAGAGAGAGAGAGAGAGAGAGAAAGAGAGAGAGAGAGAGAGAAAATAAGAGAAAGAGAGGAAAGACAAAAAAAAAAGATAAACCAGAAGGACAATACAAAGCCAGAGCTGATCCCAAACGCACACCCTCCCCCCTTCCCCTCTCCCCTCCCCAGACCTGAGCTGGAGGACGAACGCCAGAAGCTGGTGCTGACGACCTCGTCCCACCAGCGCGCCCTGCAGGACACGGAGGAGCGCATCCTTCACACCCTGTCCTCCGCGCAGGGCAACATCCTGGAGTCGGAGGAGGTCATCAACATCCTGCAGGAGACGAAGGTAAGCCGAAGACCACAAGTTGTAGTCTATATGATCTAGTCGCATATTATCTGATAGAAGTCGCTGCATATTATTTAATAGATATTTCTTGCCATCATGTGCTCTCTAAATCCACAAGGCAGTATTTCCACCATCTGTCATTAACACAGCATTGATGACTCATTACTGACCCTTAATTTATCATACTTACCATTATTCCGGCATCTGATGGCCCATTACTGGTCCTCTATCCCTCCTGCCTCCCTTCCCGCCCCCAGCAAATGTCCGACGACATCAAGCGGAAGCAGGAGCAGTGCGTGGAGACGGAGGCGGCGCTGCTGGAGTGCTGCAAGCAATACGAGTCCGTGTCCCGTCCCGCTGCGTCCCTCTACATCACCCTCGCCAGCCTCGCCTCCGTGTCGCCCATGTACCAGTTCTCGCTGCGCTGGTACGTCGATCTCTACGTCGCCGTCATCGACACCACGTAAGTCGGGGGGACGCACATGTACTCAGATGTAGACGCACGTACGCTAAACACAAACGTACCCAAACACACGCACGTACGTAAACAAGTGTGTTTATACGATCGGGGTTTTACGAGTGTTTTTTTTTATTTCATTCTCGCCAGTTTCTCCATGTTTTTTGGCACAAAACTGTTTTCCATCCAGTATGTTCCCTCAACAACAACAAAAAAGCCAGAGTTTGCTCTTAGCTGATCGAGGAAAAAAAAAATTCAGCTAGAATTTTCTGTAAACTGAAACAATAACTTTTTTTTTGACAGTATTCTCTTTCTAAACTGATCTAGAGCAAAGACAAAAAAAAAATTCAGCCAGAATTTTCTCTAAACTGATCTCGAACAAAGACAAAAAAAAATAAATATCAGCCATTATTTTCTCTAAACTGACCTAGAACCAAAACAAACAAAAGACAAAATACTAAGTCGTCTCAGAATACCCCTCACCACATCCAATAACTCTGACCTCTGACCTCTGACCTCTGAGCTCCGTCTCCCGCAGCGGCAAGAGTTCCGTGCTGGAGCGCCGTCTGAGCCTCCTGCAGGAAGCCCTGGTGAGCCGCGTGCACTCCGCCGTCGTGAAGGGCCTCGCCGCCCCTCACCGTCTGCCCTTCACTTTCCTCATCGCCCTCCACGCCCTCAGGTTAGACGAGATTATTTTCATTTGCTGATTTGCTATTACTCTTGATGATTGTTGTTGTAGTTGTTGCTATTGTTGCTGTTATTATTATTATTATTATTATTATTATTATTATTATTATTATTACTATTATTATTACTATTACTACTTTTATCATTGTTATGATTATTATTTTTCATTATTATTGTTATTATTATTATATTGATATTATCATTATTGTTATTGTCGTTGTTGTTGTTATTTTTGTGCTCTCTGATATTAGTAAGCGTTGTTATTATCATTATTACTCTCATTATTATTAGTATTGTCATCATCATCATTATTACTATTGTTAAGAAAGATTAATAATCATCGGTAGGTAATGAATTGTTAATTTTATACCGACCACCACAGATAACAACAAAAAACAGTTATTGTTATCCCACTGTTTATTTATATATTAGAGATTCCATTTTCACTCTCAGAGTCTCGGGGGCAGTGAGCGCGAGCGTGGAGTCGGCCCTGTTTCGTCTGGCGAGTCAGAGCCCGGCCGGGTGCGTTCCGCCCCCCGACTGGCTGGCCACGCCCCTTGGCCCCGCCTGGCCCGCCCTCCTGCACCTCACGACGCTGCCGGAGTTTGAAGGTGAGGCTGTCGAGATGTTTTTGTGCAGGAGGGTAAGTTGATTGATATAGAGATATACAGATTGATAAAAAAAATAGATAAATAAAAAATATCTAGGACAGAAGTTTCATTGATGGAAGCATGATACGTACGTTCGGGTTGTTTTAATCCAGCATAGAAATTTAATTGATGGACGCATGATAGATACACTAGATTTTTGTTATCCACTATGGAAGTTTGAGTGACGAAAGCATGATACATACGTTAGGATTTTTTATAATCTATTATAGAAATTTAATTGACAAATGCGCGCGAAATCATACTTGCCTTGAATCCCACATGCTTCTTTACCCGCAATAATGCATCTTGGCTGCTGATCTTGCGTCCGCAGGTTTGTCTGAGAGCTTGGAGAAAGACGCCGTCGGTTGGGTCAGCCTAACGGGCTGCGCCCTGCCGGAGAGGTCCGCTCTGCCCCGCCCCTGGCACCGCCTACAGCCTGTTCTGTGGCTCCTGCTGGTCGCCGCCCTTCGCCTGGACAAGGTTCGTTTAGATGGAGATAAGAATTGAGTATGAGTTTGTTGATAATTTTATGATTAGAACTTTTTGAAACCTGTGTACGAATCTCTTACCTGAAATGAAGGCTTGCGCGTCCGCAGTTGTTTTCAGACAATACGTTTATTAAATGTTTTATCCCTTTAAACCATCATCTGTAACATGAACGTCGACATACTCACGTTATTGTATTCCATTTCCTGATCATAGTATCTTAGTGTGAAGATATTTGTGACAGGTGAAAACTTAAGTCAGTAACTGGCCTGAGAACACGCTCGCCATTCCCCTTTTATCCAAGACTTTATCCACCCCAGCTTACGTGGGCGGTAAGGGTCATCGTGGGCGAGATCCTGGGCGCCCATTTCTCCTCACCTCCGCCTGTGGACGTGGGCGTGTTCCTGGAGGCGCCCGCGCAGCCCAAGTCCTCCTCGCGTACCCCGGCCCCCGCCCGCCCGCCCGCCCCCCTCCTGCTGGTCACCTCGCCCGGGGTCGACGCCCTGGAGGAGGTCTTGCTCCTGGCCGCTCAGGGACCGGAGGGCGCGCTCGCGAACGTGTCTCTCGGACAGGGCCAGGTGGGCGCCGGTCGAGCCGTCACGAGTTTTGGATATATATGTGCTACTTATATATGCGTGTGCGTGTGCATGTGTATGTGTGTGTGTGTGTGCGTGAGTGTGTGTGTGTGTATGTGTGTGTGTATGTGTGTGGTGTGTGTGTGTGTGTGTGTGTGTGTGTGTGTGTGTGTGTGTGTGTGTGTGTGTGTGTGTGTGTGTGTGTGTGTGTGTGTGTGTGTGTGTGTGTGTGTGTGTGTGTGTGTGTGTGTGTGTATGTGTGTGCGTGTGTATGTGTCTATATATATATATATATATATATATATATATATATATATATATATATATATATATATATATACATATATATATATACATATACATATATATATATAAATATACAGAGAGAGAGAGAGAGAGAGAGAGAGAGAGAGAGAGAGAGAGAGAGAGATTTAGTAATTGATTTAAAATTTATTCGGAATATTTTTCATTTTACTAAGGTAAACGAAAGACTACCTAAGATAAGTATTCACCTACCATCGACATTTCTAATAAAATGTCGCGGAAGTTATCTTACCGATTTAAATACTGTTATTGCTATAATATAGATGAAGACTCTAACCTTCGCGATATCTCATTACCATCGCCCTCTGCAGTCTTCCGTGGCGGAAGTCGCCGTGCAGAGCGGGGCGAGCGAGGGCGGCTGGGTGGTGCTGCAGAACCTCCACCACGCCTTGGACTGGCTGCCGACGCTGGCGAACATCATCACTCGCCTGTACACAGAGGGCGTCCCCAACGGCGGCAGTGGCGGCGCTCGCAAAGCCAACGGCAA